CTTTTGTGCTTCTTCCTACCCCTAACACACTGCAGACACACACACAAGAGATCTTGAGTTGGCAGCATCGTAATCGTTTCTTTAGTCGACGATGGGAAAGAACTAGCAAAAATTAGCAAAATTTAAAATTGATTATGTATCACACGGTCACACAGTCACAGACGCACACCTCACCCACACACCCGAACACACCCAAACACACACACTCACCCAGACACCATGTATATAAGTATGTATATTCCTTTGAGCTGAACATTGTATAACCGAACGATTACGATACCATCATACACACACGAACAAACGAGAAGAAAACAACAAGGACGCACCGAGGTGTGTAAAGGGTTCTTTGCTTACAACTTTTCAAACGTATTAAACCGTTTCGGCCAAACTTTAGGATTGACAAATGATCGACTTGAGGAACACAGCCCCGCCCACTCGCCTTCAAAAAAAAGTGAGCGGTGGGCGGGAGAATGCATCGTTTCGGTTGATGGATGCAAACGATCGAAATTTATTGGGCCCTCGGGCCAAGTGAAACCAAATCAAGAAACGAAATTTGTTTATGTTCAATTAAGCAAACGAAAACAATATGGAAAAATTGTGAAAAATGTAGAAAAATGAATACTTTGAGTTACAATACAACAATAGACCGGAATGATTTCCAAGCAATAGTACAAACAACTTTAGAGATAACTTTTATAATGTAATTGTAAACTAAGGGATAGAAGGAGAGCTCCGAGGAACGCAAGGAAATGAGGATATAAGCCAAAAAAATGAAATCCTCGAACAGCCGGAGCGAGAAGAGAATCTAACGAAAAGAAAACCAAGCGAATGCATATACGATTTAATTTAAATTATTTTTAGTTGAAATTTTAACACACATTTATTTGAAATTTGATTAGTGCGAAGTAAGCGAAATTAAAGGCCAACAGACGCCGATGACATTTTCGAAATTCCAACTTGACACGTGCATTAAATGCCGCAGGACCTTCCCTTCTCCAGAAGCTGGAGGTCAATAAAAACGATTAAATCAAGTCACTTCACACACAGTTTAAATTTATAAGAATATGTACTAACAATAGGAAACGACACCCGATTTCCCGACCTCCCAAAGCCCCAATCTCCCTTTCCCAAAAAAAAAACTCACACATTACTATTTACCACAATATGAAACGAAAGCAAAACAAACATATATGAATGTAATACGCGGTGGAAACATACAAAGTTGGGAAACGAGAAAATTTCACAATCGACTATGTCGCGTATACACTTACGATAGTACGATATACTAACTTTATATGATTAACTAACTCATTTCGAATGAACCATAGCGATATATGTATAAGCCACGTTTTGGTTTCGGTTTCGATTTCGGTTCCGTTTTTACTTTGGTTTGGTGTACACTTTTGGAAACTTCGGAAACGCATTTCAGGCCAACAAAAAATTACCCACTTTTGGACCAGTTTTGTTCCCGCAAAATCGGAAAAAAATCACACAAAATTGTACATTTTAGCGCATACGAAAATTGCAATTAAAAAACCCCGAAAACGGAAAATCGAAATTTGGATTTACATTTAGAGAATGCATTTAGCGCAAAGCAAAAGCAAACGACACCACACTACACCATCACACCACGAAATGAATGAAAATATGTATGAGGTAAATTCAGTATTTGGGATATAAGCGAATATAATTACATACAAATTTATATTTATGCAAGCGACAAAATCGAAAAACATACTAAAAACGTGTAATGGAAAGGAAATTGTAAAACAAGAGCAAAACACTAAACTACAATATGACATTTTTAATCGAAAAAAAAACAAACAAAACTTATTTTATTGAAAAATTATGTAAAATTTACTAAGGAAAAAAATACAAAAAACACACAATAAAACTATATTGTTTATTTTCATCTTTAAAAATAAAGTTTTAAAATCGTATAAAAATAGTAATTGCTTTACCACTGTTGTTTTCTTTTGAAAAAGGATTTGGGAGGTAAGTATGGCAAATCAAATAAATGAAGGCCTACATCAATCCTTACAAGAAAGGAAGCTAGAAAAATAAAAATCGTCAAAAAATACAAAATTATCCAATGATGCAGTTCGTTAGAGAATCAAAATAGAAACTTTTAGAGGTGTGCCACATTAAAACTGATTAAAATAACAAAATGGATGGTCTTAGAATTAGAAAACCTATTTTCAGAAAATTGGAAAGGGTATAAAAACTGCAATAGTCAGGAACACTGTGGAGTGGGTTTGTGTAACTGATCGGCTAAGAAATGTTATTTTGTTCCTACTGTTCTGTTTCCAGTAATCAGGGCCGGCGGAAGGTGTATACTGGGTGTTGAGCACTCCACACGCCAAATCTTAGCGGGTGTGGAATTCAACACCCAAAAATGCTTGACTTGTAGAAAAAAATTTATTTACATCCATTATTATCAGTTGAATGTATGATTCAAAACTGTTTCTCCGGCCCTGCATATAGAGTATATCGAAGAAAAACGAAGAGAAATCCCGCCTTTACCACGGCCCAATTAAATCAGTTTCTATTTAAATAGATAGATAGTAACTCTCCCAAATACTTCCCAAGTTAAGCATTTTCCAACTTAATGTAAAAACTACTTAAATAATTATGAGATTATCATAAATAAATCTTTTCAGATTGGTACTTACTCAGTTAGCTCCTTGATCTGCACTGCAATCTTTCGTCTTCTTGAAGTAAGATAATCACCGCAACCACTTTATTCGCAACATTAACACTTAACACTTTACCTGAAATTAAATAAGAAAAAAAATAATAATAAATAATTTGTTACAAATAATAATAGTTAGAATTATTTTGTTAGTAAAAAAGGTATTTACCTCTTTGGGTTTTTTATTCACTGCATCTTGAAGTTCACTCCAAGCAGAACGGAATAGTCATCACTGTAATGAAAAGAAGCATTCCAAAATATTAGTTAAATTATTTTATACAAATCGGTTGTTTAAAAAATACATACCCCAATGAGGTGATGCACTGCATCCTGGAGTGGAGTTCAATAAGATAACCACTGCAACCACTTTATCCGCAACATGTGCACTTTACACTTTACCCTGAAATTAAATAAGAAAAAAAATAATTATAAATAATTTGTAACAAATAATAATAGTTAGAATAAATTTGTAGTAAAAAAGGTATTAGTAAAAAAGGTATTTACCTCTTTGAGTTATTGATTCACTGCATCTTGAAGTACACTCCAAGTAGAAAGGTATAGTCATCACCTGTAATGAAAAGAAGCATTCCAAAATATTAGTTAAATTATTTTATACAAATCGGTTGTTTAAAAAATACATACCCCAATGAGGTGATGCACTGCATCCTGGAGTGGAGTTCAATAGAAGATCACGCCATTCATAATTGATCCTGCAGCCTGTTGTCCAGTCCATTTATGTGGTGTCGGCATACTATATATTTCCGGTAACCGCATTCTTACAACTATTACTATATATATACTACATATATTTATAATATATGTCGCTACTTGTTTGCAATTATTAATTGTGTTTGATTTTCATGTACTTCAAGTTCAATATTTGATAAAATTTACCTTTCAAATTTCTTTCATGTTCTTGAAAACTTTCAGATCTTTATCTGTTTCTTTTAGTTTCTTTGTTAAAATATTTATGATTTTTTAAAATATATAACTTAATTATTTATTGTCTAAAGGATGTACTCACTGCGTAATAACTTTGGTGCAGTGCATCCTGATGTCGAACTTCAAGTTACAAGTTGGATGGTGTCACCAATCATTTTCTGCAATCAGCCAAATACACAACCAAAAACCTGAAAAAAAAATATAAAAAAAATTGAATTAATTAACTGCATTTTTTTTACAAAAGCCACGTCATCACATAATTAAAAAAAACTGCAACTCACCTTTTCAGGTTTGGATGCCCTGCATCCTGGAGTCCACTACAGGCAGGAAGGGATCGGGCACCTTTAAGTTCATGCCAAGTCAGGTCATGATGCAGTGCATCCTAGGAGGAGTCGACCCATGGTGCACTGCATCCGGGAGTGAACTCCAGTAGGTGGAGTCGACCCAAGATGCACTGCATCCGGGAGTGGACTCCAGTAGGAGGAGTCGACCCATGGTCCACTGCATCCGGGAGTGGACTCCAGTAGGAGGAGTCGACCCATGATGCACTGCATCCGGGAGTGGACTCCAGTAGGAGGAGTTGGCCAGATACTCTCTCCCACTCTGGAACCACGTCACTAACACACACGCACACACACACACTTCCAGAGACCGGAAAAAGTTTCTTAGAGAAACTGCCGGTCATCCCGGAGAACTAAGAAATTGGCCAAAATCAAGGGGTATCCCACTACGAATCAGCCAGAACCACTTGGGAATTATAGGAGCGAGAAAACGAAAAAAATAATTAATTATCATTGTCGCTGACGTGGCCATATTAATTTAATTAACATTTAGTTAACATTACATTTACATTATATTAAATTAACATTATTTTAACATTAAATTAACATTACATTAATATTAAATGGATTTTAATTAACATTTTACATTTAAAATAGTTTTTTTTTACCTGTTGCATTTTGATTGATTGGTGTTGTTGTTTTATTAAAATTTATACTTACCTATATTATGTCAACAGTGTTTCCCTCATCATGATTTGGAATGATTTTGAAACAAAAGGGGCGGGGGGATATTGAAAATTTGTGAGGTCATCACCCCACTCAAAACTGTTTCTCCGGCCCTGCCAGTAATGCCACATCGGTTTAAATATTTTTCGCGAGGTTAAATATAACTTAAAAACCAAAAAGGTTTTACGTTAATTGGAGGATTAGAATCTTAGATTAATATTCTACGCCTATTTTACACAAACTTACTCATAGTGGCTCATGGTGCATACATGGCGACATCTGGCGATGAGTGGCAGACTAAAAATGGACTTTCGATTATTTTCAAAACAATTAATCGACAAATCGCAATCTCTAAAGCATCAAACAAGAACAACAAAAACCAGCTGTTCGTACATTACGCAAAGGTTTTTTTCACATTTGTTTATTAAAAATGTCGCTGCTGAGCGCCTTTGCCAGGTCAGTAGAACCGCCTGTTTGTAGGAAACTCCTTCGGTAGCTTGTTACTTACCATTCTGTCACAGGCTGGGATTGCAGCGCACTGGCGGAGTTGCAGGCGCCGCCTTTGCACGTTGTATCCAAACGACTCCTGTTCTCTGCGCCGAACCCCTTAAGAAAAAGAAGAAACTAGACCCACAGATTGTCAAACAGCGTGAAGACCGTAAGAAAAAGAAAATCGAAAAGCAAATCCGACGGCTGGAGAAGAATGCCCGGCAGTTGAAGCCCGTGGAGGAACTGGAAGTTCCCCTGGAGCTTATCGATGAAAAGGAGTACGTTACCCATGTGGACATCCATTTAAAATTTCTGTTCAATGTCCCCTTAATCCCCAGCAAACGCCAGAGAAAACTGACCCCCTTGAGCAGTGCAGAACTGGAGGAACGCGCTCTTCTCAAAAAACAGTGGGCGCACTACAAACACGATGAACGGGTGGCCGACTTCCAGATCATCGACCGACTAGTTCAGGCGCAAAACAAAGCTCTTGCAGAGCTTCGACGCGAATCCGAGGAGCTGTACCAAGCAGCCATTGAAGTGGATCCCCAGCTGTTGCCTGTCTCACTTAAAGGACCCGTGGCAACGCCCCCCATCAAAAACTACGTCAGTCCAGATGGAGATTACCTGCACCAATCCATGAAGTGGGAGGTCAAGTGATGTGTGCATGCGCTTAAGGTCAAACGAATTGAAATAAACAGAACCCTTAATCCCATATACTTAAATTTTAATACCCTTGGCCATCGATGGCCATTTCTGATGTTGACCTTTTGTTCCTAGGATTAGCCTCAAGGCAGTTTCTGAGCTATCTTTAAAACGTTTAATAACTTTATATAAAAAATGTTATTTTTTTGTTAGTTTTTGAGGGTAATTTGTTACAGAAACTATCTTGGGGTCATGATAAATGCAAGCCTTCTATGCAATCGTACTGCAACTTTACTAATCGATTAGACATCAGCTATGTTTTTCATCATAATTGAGACCGTTTTAATAGTCACTTGATGCGTTGTGGCGGTTTTATTGTTATCAGTGAATAGCGGTAATCAGGCGGGAAGGACAGCCTGCCGAGCCTTTTCGGTGAACTGTCGAAATAAATAATTCGCGAGAGACATAGCACTGACTGCTCATGCTGATCATGGGATGGGGTTGCTTATCGGATCGGATCCTTACGAGGGGGGTGGTGGTGGCATTAGTCTTGGCAGCGGCCTGCCGCTTTTTCACGCCCCAGTTGTACACCCTCGCCATGTTCACCTCCGTGGTTGTAATTTGATCCCTGCAACAGAGAGATTTACTTTAGAAAAGCAGCTCTTGAGAGGTAAAGCACTACACGAACCTCAGGAAGTCCTGGTCATGCTCCACGGACTTTAGGTTGCTCACTGCCGATGTGACGTTCTGCTTGAGCAGCGCCTCCGCCTCGTCAAGCGGATACTCAAGCATCACACTGGCTCCCAGCCAGAGGTAGACTGTTTTCGTTGGCGGCACCAGCGTCTTGATGAACACCTGGTCGCTCAGCAAGAACTGAGTCTCGCGCTCCTCGTCCTCCTTCCGTAGAACATTCACCATCTCCAGAGACCGCTCCAAGTCGGGGATTTGGGACTTCAGCTTGCGACGCCGCGCCTCCAGGTTGTAGGCCATGAATCGGTACTTGCCATGCTGCTCGTCCAGCCGCTGCAAAACCTTTTCACAGTTCTCGTTGTCAGGCTGCGCCATGAATGAGTCGATTTCCTCCTGCAATCGCCAATGGAACGTGAATTAGCCCCCAGTCGCCAGCTGCAGGTGCACGCTTGTAGGTTAGGACCACTCACCAGGAACACTGCCTCCGGAATGCCGGCGAAGGTCTTCTGGTTTTCCGGTAATTTGGGCATTTCCACCGAGTCCATAATGCCAGTCATCTTGATGCCTTTATCGGTACCGTCTGCAATTGCAATTTAATTTCCAGGAGGTCGCCTGCCGCTGTAAAAGTCGATGGTGAGTCAAAATTGCGATGGAACTATCGATTAGTGCCGTCACTTGCTAGCGATGGCTTACTTACTATGCTGCATGCTAAATAATAAAGCAAAAATTCAGTGTTAACGCCAAAGCTCATGTATTATGACTTTACATTTAACAATACAGAACAGTTTTTGGTAATTGTTTACAAGTGCGGTGCACGGTAAATACGGCTTAAAAAAATAAAGTAAAATATGGAAAAAATGTGTTTTTTTCTAAAGCTTCAAAATCCGTTGGCGGAGACTGAAAATTTTGCACCGTTTTTTTGTTATTAACAATTAAAGATGCGATTTGTAGTACAAATTCGGGTCTGAGTGACCGTATTTGCAATAATCCGCCACCAGACGACTGCAATAATCGGCACATCACATGCAAATACGGTCACTCAGATTCACATTTGTACTACAAATCGCATCTTTAATTGTTAATAACAAAAAAACGGTGCAAAATTTTCAGTCTCCGCCAACGGATTTCGAAGTTTTAGAAAAAAACACATCGTTTCCATATTTTACTTTATTTTTTTAAGCCGTATTTACCGTGCACCGCACTTGTAAACAATTACCTAATTCGACACCAGACGACTCCAATAATCGGCACATCATTTAAAATACCGCACTTGTAAAAATTAAAAAAAACATCGATGGCCAAATCAACATCGACCTTAGTCCACCTCTAACACGCCGGACAGCTGTTGAAAAAATGTCTTCGACGTTAATAAAATGTTTTAATTTAGCAAAAAACGTGGGAAATGCGACGGTGAGAAGCTTTCTGGCTGTACCTAAGCAGCCATGGCAAGCCTGCAGGTGGGTTCTCTTTGACCAAACCGGCTTTCACTAAGAAATACTTACTAAATCGCGCCTTTGTTTTTATGTAATATGTAGTGCGGTTGCCCTGCAAACGCCGCATGCCCAAATGCAGATGCACACATCCGCTGTTCGCCGGGATCTGATGGAGTTCTTTGACGACAAAAAGAACTGGAGCGAAAATGAGGTCAAAGTCGGTCGTGCCTGGCGGACAGAGGAGTTGCGCATTAAGTCCAACAAGGAACTTCACCAGCTGTGGTTCGTGCTCCTCAAGGAACGCAATATGTTGCTAACCATGGAGAACGAGTGCAACGACAAAATGGAAGTCTTTCCCAACCCCGAGCGCATCGATAAGGTAAACTTCTACGTGATTTAATAGATCACTATATAAAACCCTCAATTGCAGGTGAAAATTTCCATGGAGAACCTGGAGACAGTCGTTAGGGAGCGCAACAAGGCCTATCACCTGCTGGAAACAGGTGAAACGGGCGAGCGTCCTCAGAAGGCGGTGAAGAATTCCTTTGGTCTGCAGGTCACTTACAAATCCTGCGAGCACGCACTTCCGCCATTTATGAACCTCAAATGGATAAAATCCCGCAACATTGGATTTGGCGGACGGGCCGTAAACAGATTCCTGTTAAAGTACCGGGAGCAACTCTATAACGCCAAGCGCAAGGCGAAGAAGTATGTTGCCCTTTGGCTTAAAAAATAATCGTTTTAAAAATGTTTTTTTTTTACAGCCGCTCCCGCAACGAAGTAATGATGATCCTGCGCCGCAATCCCAACTTTGACCTGAATGTGCTGCGTCGCCAGTTTCCCGACGTTGATGTGGACAAACTGTGCAACGATGACAAGATTAGAGGTCACTATGTGCCCAAAGTTGGCTCTTAAGCCGGTCAGTTATGCAGTTATTTAGTGATTAAAACAACAAAATACCGTCAACTCTTTTAATCTTCGTCAAACTTAATCTTGGTGCCCTGGAAAGCGGCGATTTTGGGCTTAAACTTCTGCTTCGCAACCCAAGATGGGTGCATGCCTTCGTTTGATGAAGGAGTGTTAGTCGAGGAGGCCAAAGGATTAACAATAGGAGTTTTAATTTCTGACGCTTCCCCATCTTCGCCGAAAGTGATCTTCTTGCCCTTAAAATCACCGATAATTGGTGTCTGCTGCTGCTTGGCCAGCCAGGAGGGATGACGATCATCAGCTGGCTTCCTCGCTTTGAACTCCGACTGTCTTTCGGGTTTTTCCCGGTACGTATTCGTCCTTCTCTCCTCGTTTCGGAACTTTTTAGCTGTCGGCGGTCTCTCCTCCTCTTCAGCTTCGCTGTCATTGTCCCCGGAAAGAACGACGGCGGTGGACAGGTAAGGCTGTCCCGATTCCGTGATGAAAAAGGGATCTTCAACATGTGTGGGACGATTATTGTCAACTTTGGGTTCCTCTTCTTCATCAATACTAAGTTGTTTCTCTACTTGAGGTCTGACCTTTTGTTGCTTGGCAGCTTTTCTTTCCAGAGGCTTAGGTTTAGGTTCTTTAGACTTGACTTCTTGTTGTGGCTGGTTCTCTTTAAAAATTGCCTGCTCTTTATTGGCTTTTTTAACAGATTCTTTTTTAGAACGTTGCACAGACTTATCTGATTTTGATTGTTTGTCTTTTGTACTAAGGGATTTTTCTACTTTTAGTTTCTTGTCTTTGACTTTCTTCTCCTTCTTTTCTTTGGGTAAAGCTTGGTTTGCCTCTGGTTTGATTGTAGACTGAAAGGTTTCTACTTTTTCTTCTTGGTCGAATTGAAGAGTTGGCGCTTCCTCCACTGCTGATCCCGCCACTTTATTCTGCTCCAACCACTCTAATCTGTTTTTTGCTAGGGCCTTCTGCTCCTTTAGCTCTTTGCGTTTTCGCTTCCGTTCCTCAGTACGCTCTATTTTGACGCGCCGCTTGCTCGTCTCCAGGATCTCTTCGCGCCACTTGGCTTCCCTGTCAGCGCTCAGCTTGAGCGTCTTCGCAAAGGTGTCCACCAGTCCGTGCATCAGTTTGTTCAGGCGCAACATGGCGATGCCCAGTTCATCCGGAGTGGATCGCTCGTTAGCGATCACTGCGTTGGGATTTGTGCCCTCCTGCAGAAGCGATTGACGGACTATCTCCAGACATTTTAGGGACTTTAGCTGGGTCAGGCATTCGCTGCTTTTCCGCAGGCGAATCTTCTCTTTTTCACTGTCTGGATTTTTGGCCAGAACATCTTTCGTCTTCCGCAGCTTTTGAACAAGCTTGGCGATCGTCTGTGCCCGCGCCTTCTGAATAAGCTTCTTGTTGGTTATCACCTGTCGATATTCTCATTTATAAATAAGCCCAAAATTTAAATTAAAAACATTTGATTTACCAAATTGTTGAATTTCAGTCTGTCCATGCTGTTACAGTGGTTGGCGAGCTATTGAAGACAGGTTTGAGTCCAGGATATAAACGTTTATCTAGAAGATGCCAACTTGGCTTAAAATCGAAAATGTATCGAAAAATATTGTTAATAAGGTATTTTCCATTTGTCGATATGTGGCAGCATTTACAAAGCTTTCACATATATATTAGATACCCTTAAAAGACATTTACCATCTGAACATATACAAAAAATCTGCTGATAGCCCAATCAATCGATAGTGCCGGTCAGAACACCACCATCGATATTGCCATCGACCAAGTGACATCCCTAGTATCTTCACAGCTACGTACAGCTAGATTTCTTCTACATTTTTATATACGAATTTATTGTTTTCCTGCGCTGTTGATTGCAATTACCGCACGGCAATTAAAAGTCGCGCAATCAAGGAGTACCTCCTGTCGCACCGTTAAACGCGAACGTGAAACGTGCCCCAAAACTGCGCCGCGCGCGAGAGCGAGAGAGAGAGAGAGGAGCGGAAAACAAGGAGGAGCTAGCTGAAAAGGCAGCAACAAAGAAGGTCCGGCAGGAAGAAAAAAATACAAAAAGCGCGACAAACAAAGCTGTTCAATTTGTTAATGCACCAAGTCAAAAACTTAACTGTGAGGAAGATACACAAATAAACAAATAATTAAGGACCAGCAGTTTGGTTTTCATTTTAAGTTTGAGTCATTGATCTCTTCGCCCGTCTGGCTGTGTGCATGCAGTGCGTGTGTGCGAGTGAGCAGTACTCGAAGTGACTCAGTGGCCTGCATTAATTCCTGGCTAATTATGCGCTTAATTTATTTTAATCAACCTTAATTAATAATTTACTCCACTTGCAGCCCATACACACACACACACGCTCACCCACCCACACACGCGCACGGAGAGAGACTGCAGCTGCGGGCGCTCCATAAAAGAGAGAGGAAAGCATCGATCGCTAGAGAGAGACTGCGACTGTGACTGTGACCGCGACTGTGACTCCGACTACGGCCAATCAAACGGACGACAAATGACGGAATACAAACTCGTAGTCGTTGGTGCCGGCGGTGTGGGCAAATCCGCGCTAACCATCCAGCTAATCCAGAACCATTTCGTGGACGAGTACGACCCCACAATCGAGGACTCTTACCGAAAGCAAGTGGTCATCGGTGAGTGCTAAAAACCGGATGTACACAAGTGATAATAAACTTTTTTAATTTTAACTAACTTTTGACCTTTATTGTCAAACAAAGATTAGTCTATCTGCAAGGTTAAAGAAATTCACTTGGCAGATTGTCGATACGAAATAATCAAATTTGCTAAATATACCACAGTGCAATTCAGAATTTGCTTTTTAAGACCACCCTTTTTAAAATACTTTTCGTCCGCAGATGGAGAGACCTGCCTGCTGGATATCCTGGACACCGCTGGCCAAGAGGAATACTCTGCCATGCGAGATCAGTACATGCGAACCGGCGAGGGCTTCCTGCTGGTCTTCGCTGTTAACAGTGCGAAATCCTTCGAGGACATCGGCACCTATCGCGAGCAGATCAAGCGCGTGAAGGATGCCGAGGAAGTGCCCATGGTGCTGGTGGGCAACAAATGTGATTTGGCCTCGTGGAACGTGAACAACGAGCAGGCAAGAGAGGTGAGTGCATGTCTGCATAGTGCCTTTTAGGTTATAGACCCATTATTTCAATCCGCAGGTGGCCAAGCAATACGGCATTCCATACATTGAGACGTCCGCCAAGACGCGCATGGGCGTAGACGATGCATTTTACACACTGGTGCGCGAAATCCGCAAGGACAAGGACAACAAGGGTCGGAGGGGCCGCAAAATGAACAAGCCGAATCGTAGATTTAAATGTGAATTACTCTAAAAGGCCTCACATCGGTTATCATTCACTTTTTATTTCTTCAAATGTCGCCTGTTTGTCTGTATGTGCGTCGGCGAATCGCCGATCATCTCGGGTTCGATGTTTTGTCCATTCTGGACACACAATGCGAAAAACACACACATGTGGGAGCGTGTTGGTCGGTGCAATTGTCAGATAAAAAGAGAGAAATTGTAATTAATTTAAGTAACTAGAGTTTTATGTACGTCGAAATGATTTTGTGAATGTGTGTGTTTTGTGTCGTTTGAAAGGTTGCGAGGCGCCCTTTTAAGAGTATTAACAATAACAAGCAAACAAAAACGAACGAAGCAAATCGAAAATGAAAATGAATATGTACCTCTACATAAAAACTATGAATACTGTTGTAACTGCCTTGGTTCAGCTGCTAAAACCGTTTGTTTTCAACCAGCCCAAAAACTCGATTCTATGTTTGTACTTTACCCGATAAACTGTGCTTAAATCCGATACGCAAGGCAAACCGATTTTGTGTATTTTGAGAACCCTGTTATCAATTGCTTTTAACCCGTCGTCATATACAGTCTTTTTCCGCACACACGCACGAGCAGAATTCCATTAGTATTCATCATTAGAGAACAAACAAACAGAAAGCCGATAAGGTCACAGAAAATTTCGCACAAACGAGCAAATTTGCTAGCCTCAAACTAGATTTCTGTTCGGTAAAACACAATTTTGTGGTGCTATGATGATAAAATTATAATCCGCATGAGTTCTTGAGATATGCCTTTCTTTCTACTTACCATTCTGACAGATCAATCGGAGAGAAAACAAGCAGCCAATTAAATTTACATTATATAGTTTGCTTTAAGCTTTTTATACATACATACATACATTTAATATTTAATTTTTTGTATTAATTTTTGCCATACAAAAAGGAACGAAATAAATCAATTGTGTGTACTATTAAGCAAATTTGGGTTTTATTACCTCGACGTTTACTTTTTAACTGACTGGGCACCTACGAATTTATGCAATTAATTTTATTAGATAACCGCTTGAAAAAATAATTTAACCTTAGCTTTGATTGACTCTTTGTCTATGTAAAAATGTGTAACTAAATTTGTTCAATACAAAAACATAAAAATGAAATTTATGGCTATAAGCTAAATTGATTTGGTGAAAGTTTTTGTGTCAAAATTCATAATAATAATCAATATTTTATAATCTGGATTTTTATAAATATTAAATTATTTATTATTAATTTTGAATTAAAAAAAACTCAATAATTTGTTATTTCCCCAGTGTTGAAACATAAAAGATTTCAGGTCTTGATGAATTTTGGAACAGCAGGGTTGCCACAGAATTTGACTAGCTATCGATATCAGCAATAAGTCCATCTTTTAATTTATTGCTGTCGAATTGTTATCCGCTCTAACAAGAAAATTCTCTGCGTTCTATTCTATTGATCTCGGAAATTTTAATTTCATAAAAACTTGTACTGCATAATAATAACTACGCTGGAAGCAGAGAGAATAAACTATTAAAGCAAAACTTTTAACAGCAGGTAAGATAATCAGAAAAAAAAATGTACGTTTGCAAAAAATGCCATTGTCCGCCATTTTGTTTTCGCCGACGCCGCTCCTTGTGTGTACTACAAATTTGATAAGTACTACAAATATTTGGATTTGTCTTGCAGACGACAATGAATATGGACGCAGGCAACTTGGTGGAGAACCGTGAGAAAGAACGCGATCGTCGTGGACGCGGAGCACGCGGCTCCCGATTTTCAGACGCCGATGGCAATGGAAATGCCGGTGGCAACCAAGGTGGTGGCGGAGCAGGTGGAGGTGGCGGAAACAATGTTCGCGACCGGAGCCGCGAACGTCGCAATTGCCGCGTTTACATATCGAACATTCCGTACGACTACCGCTGGCAGGATCTGAAAGATCTGTTCCGCCGCATCGTCGGCTCCATTGAGTACGTGCAGTTGTTTTTCGACGAGAGCGGCAAGGCACGTGGCTGCGGCATCGTAGAATTTAAGGATCCTGAGAACGTGCAAAAAGCCTTGGAGAAGATGAATCGTTACGAGGTGAATGGCCGCGAACTGGTAGTCAAGGAGGATCACGGCGAGCAGCGTGACCAGTACGGCCGGATTGTGCGGGATGGAGCTGGAGGCGGTGGCGGTGGAGGTGGTGGTGGTGGCGGCGGCAACGGTGGCAACAATGGTGGAGGAGGCGGCGGTGGTGGTCGTGACCACATGGATGACCGTGACCGCATTTTCTCCCGTCGCGAAGACGAAAGATTGTGAGTACCCCCCTATTATACCAATACCCACTATTGTGTACTTTTTTCGATGTTCTGGAGCAGGAATGCAGAGTTCGTAGCACGCATAAATTACTCAACTCCCAAAAAATTTTCAGCTGGCAGTGGTGTCTGTTACATATTTATCAACAGTTGCGGTTTCTGAATGGATATGAATTATTTAAATTGAGTAATTTCCATTTAGGTCAGTTATAGAGATCCCAATACATACCATCTATCAGTTGTCGTATTTGTGTTCATCGGCGAACAGCTGAATAATATATTTTTATGAGTGCAGTGTTCCTTATTGAAGTTTCTTGAGTATTCGTATCGTACATAATCCAATTTGTTTCGAAATTCGCAGATGCGCAATAAGTTTTAACTAAGTTCTCCTTGATTTAATTATCAATTTAAGGCCATATACAACCATCAACCCAATCAGCTGAACATTTCTTTATTGTAAAAATGGATTTTTTCGCTACAACCTGAATACCCTTTATATGAAAAGAATATAAAGCATGGGTCCCAAGCTAGTCAAATAGTTATTTGGTTAAGCCCTAATCGACTTTTAGCTCTTTCTGTCTTATCTATAAAATCACATTCAGTTTTCAGAGTTTGTGTGAAATTTGTAATAATTTTTGGATTTTTGTATTTGATTCTGAGAAGTTTGACCAACATTCAGTCCTGAAATCGAATTTTTGGTGTTATCAAGTATTATGCGTGCAATAAGTCAATGTTCATTTATATGAAAGATTTTGTTTAAAAATCTTTCTACTGCCATCAGAGTGTTAAATATTTCTACCTTTGTATTAACTTGAACGTCGTATTTGAAGCGCATATAAAAGAATTAAATTTTAGTGATAATTCAAAGAAGAAATCGGAATGTAAGTTGCACTTGAATCGATATTGGGCCCAGTTTAACAGATGGTAAAAAAAATTGAACAATTCTACAAGTCCTGCGGCTCTTTTGGCATCCCACTCGTAGCTGAAGCTTATCTCTGCTTTTTGTTATTTTGTCTGGAAATCTGGCTTCTCTTTTTCTAGATCTGGGCGTAATAATTTTAACATGATGTCAAATGATTATAATAATTCGTCGAATTACAATTTGTATGGGCTTTCCGCTTCGTTTTTGGAGAGTCTTGGCATAAGTGGACCTTTGCATAATAAGGTTTTTGTTGCTAATGTGAGTATATTGTAATTTAAAATTCCAATAATCCTATGTATAGAATTTAACTGGATCCGGACCACACTACAAATATGCTGCGTTTCGTACATTTTTATGGGTCTCTGCTTCGTATTTATAACCCAAGAAGATTGCATCCTACGGAGGGGCACATTTTACTAGTTTTGGTTGAGCCGACTTTAAGAATGACACCACTCCTCAGAATCCTTTCCTTTTTGACTTGGCGTGGTCTCTATTCATTTTTCGAGTTTGTGTATGTAATTCATAGAGAAACGAAATACACATGCTGATTTTCATCTGACAGTAAAAAGCACCTAAGACTTGTATGATCTTGAATGGTTAAAAACCAATCTAAAGAACGATTTTTACTGGATTTTCTTTGACGAAAGGAATATTCGTCTTAACGGACATTTGGACTTCAATATACTTAAAAGGGTCTGCTTCACCTTCTTCATGTAACTCGTGTGCCAATGTAAAATTGGGATATTCAAAATCTTTATTTGCAAAAATGTATAATTTGTTTTGGTTTACTCGGTTGATATCAATTGGTGCGTCTGTTGCAGCAATAACTTTGGAAGTTTCTTGACGGTTTGCCATTTGGTTGGTTGCAGTTTTCTGACATTTCCACGCTCCACACTCGAATTTCTCGCAAAAAAAAAACACTCCTTTCAAATGGGTTATAAATATGAAGCAGTTCAAGGTTTTGGACAATTCGGCGTCGTCTTGGGCTATTGCATTTGCTTTGGAAAACGACTCTCCTGAGATTCTCATCTATCGCCAGCATTGCTTTGCAGCATGGTTTTGTCGAAGACAGCGGTCTGAATCAGCATGGTCACCTTTCGAAACCATTTCAGTGGCTAAGCCATTTATGTTGCACCCTATTAATCCAGCTCTCTTTAACTTCCTGCAGCTGGACTACAAGGTGGACAACAAGAAGCTCAAGCAGGTCTTTAAGCTGGCCGGCAAGGTGCAAAGCGTAGATCTTTCACTGGACAAAGAGGGCAATAGTCGCGGCTTTGCCGTGATCGAGTATGATCATCCCGTGGAGGCTGTGCAGGCTATTTCCATGTTGGATCGTCAGATGCTCTTCGATCGTCGCATGACCGTACGTCTGGACCGCATTCCGGACAAGAACGAAGGCGTAAAGCTGCCCGAGGGCTTGGGAGGCGTGGGCATCGGCCTGGGACCCAACGGAGAGCCATTGAAGGATGTAGCTCACAATCTGCCCAATGGAGGCCAGAGCCAGGGACAGCTGCTCGGCAATTCGCAGCAGGGATCTCAGCTGGGATCGGTGGGTGGCGGCCAGGGCAGCAGCGCCGTTAGCAACGCCACCAATCTGTTGAACAATCTGACCGGCGTCATGTTCGGCAATCATGCTGCCGTTCCAGTCGCCCCGGTGGCCCCGGTGCAGAAGCCCAGTTTGGGCAACAATGCAGGAACCGGCGGATTGAACCTAAACAATCTTAACCCCAGCCTTTTGGCTGCCGTCGTAGGCAATCTGGGCAGTCAGGGAGGCAATTTGAGCAATCCCTTGCTGACCTCGTCACTGAGCAACCTCGGTCTCAATCTCGGAAACTCTGGAAATGATGACAGCTTGGCCCCCAGCAACGTGGGCCTGTCGAACAACTACAGCAGCGGCGGTAGCGGTGGCGGCAATAACTACAGTTCCGGCAACAACTATAGCGGCGGCGGTGGCGTCTCCGGCAATGTGGGATACAATGCCTACAGCAGCTCTGGCGGAGTTGGCGGCGGAAACGGTGGTGGCGGCCTGGACAGCAACGATTACAATTCGGGCAACCAGTTGGACATGTTCGGCGGTGGAGCCAATGTGGGCAACTCAAATGTTGGATCGGGCAATGCTGGCGGCGGTTCCCGCAAGTCGGACACCATCATTATCAAGAACGTGCCCATGAGCTGCACCTGGCAGACGTTGCGCGACAAGTTCCGTGAGATCGGCGACGTCAAGTTTGCGGAAATTCGCGGCAATGATGTGGGCGTAGTGCGTTTCTTTACGGAGCGCGATGCCGAGGCTGCCATAAGTAAGTTTTACTTAAAAATAATGGTTTTCTTATATGTACTTACCTAAACTTTCTTTGCAGGACTTATGGATGGCTCGCGTTTGGATGGGCGCAACATTAAAGTAACATACTTTTAAGTCGGCGCTTCTTGGCGCCAAAAAAACTTTAAGCATGACCACATCCTCCGATGACCAATGAGCATATTTTCCTTATTTCACGCGCAATACTGAAATCAAAGGCACACGAAAGGCTCATCCAAACGAATGCACCCACATATTTGTATAACTTTTATATATACGCATATTATTATACAGACTAATATTATGATAATTGACGTTCCAAAAAAAAAGAAACACAAAGCCCCCAAAAAACTGAAGACGCGATTCAAGTTATTTTTTAAGTCATTGAATTAATGCCAATAAAATTATGTAAACCCATGAAAATTTTGGTGGTCAATTTGAGGATGTACGTTTATTAAATTTTCCCTTAATAGCTACAAGCATTGTTGGCTTTGGGATTCGATATATGAATGCATTTCTTCCTGCGGTGGAAGGGATTTACAACTGAATTTGTTTGCCTAAGTAAATAGTTTTGCTGTGGCCTTATTTGGTTGCTTCAGCGGCCGGGACAGTTTTAAATCTCTCCAAGCGTGCACGCGCCTTCTCTGACCAGGCGTCCTTTGATTCGGTGGTGGCAGCCGTTGGGGTGGCTTCCGTCGTTGCTGCTCCGGCTCCAAAACGCTCCTTTCGCTTCAGTAGCCTCTCCTCGGCCGCTGATTTAGGAGTCTTTTCTGGCACCACGCAGCCGAAACGTTCGGCGCGCCTTTTTAGTGCCTCTTTCTGTTGCTCTTCCGTCTCCTTGTTGCCTTTGTTGGCCGTTATGGAGGCGCTCGAGGATTTGTTGATGGCTGCAGCCACTGTGGTTGCGGTGGCGGCCACAGCTGTAGATGCAGCTGGCGTAATGCCAAATTTCTTAGCCCGTAGTTCCAATCTCTCTTGCGCGGTTAACTGGGTGAGCTTCTTGTCTCCGGCTGGCTTGTCACCTTCCGTTTTCGGGCCAACTATAATCGGCTTGTGCTTCTTTGTTGGAGTCTCATCGGTGGAAACGGTTATTGCTGTGGTTGGTGCCTCATTCTCCTTGGACGGCGTTGTTGCCGTGCTGGCTGCTGCGCCAGTGGACTGCTGGGAATTGTTTCGCTTGAGCACTATTTTCTTGGCCGGCAGGGCAGTCGTGGAATCCGTTGTCGACTTATCCTCGGCCAGCAGGTCCGGAATGGCTACTGTTGTGGGCGTGCTAACCGGACTCTTAAGCAGTTCGTCATCGCCCAGCAGCTTGTGCTCATCCTCGTCCGTGAGGGAGACGTCGTCGTCGTCAATAGCATCTGCTATGGCCGAATCCTCCAGTGAAATGTCACCCTCCAACAGAGCAGTCTGCAGGCGGTCCTGTAGTTCCGTCTTATTGCCGTTCACGGTGAGGCCACGAAGCTTAAGCTCGCGCTTCAAGTCCGCTACCTGAAAGAGTAAGTTTTACTTGTGGCCCTTCGTTTTGTTTAGTGGATGGTCTTACTTTCATTTTAGTCACGTCGCTTTCGGGCATTTTCTCCGTTTTCAAAGAATTTTACTTAAATATTGTGAACAACCCGTTTTGCTAGTGGTGGACCAATCATTAAGCATAGCAATGCTATCGATTATTTTATTCGGCTTGCATACGTGACACGAAACACATTAAAATATTTTTGTATTCCACAATTTTATTCGTTAAATTGACAAAAGTTAATATTGACACAATAAGTTCTAAATCTTGTTAATTAAGTATTTATATTAAAATTTAGAAAAATAAAATACATATTTTATTTTTTTGTCCATCAATTCTGTTTTAAAATACCGTTATTTAAGTTATGGGTTGCTCTTTTCTAGTTGAGAGATCGTTAAAAATATATTTGTGGGCGTTTTAAAAAAGCTTTTCACAATTATCTAACAATTATTTTCTTGTTGTGAAAGAACATAAATTTATAGCAACAAAACTCAACCGGACAAAACAATTACACACCATAAACCGCATTTGATTTAAGAACACTTCCAGCTTTCCACGATTGTTATTGGATCTCGTAATATTTGTTTTTGTCACTCCAGCTCTCACCCTCATGATTTGCTGTTGCAGACCCCGTAGCCGAGATAAGATATAATATATGAGTGCTGTTCAGAAATAGCACCCGTGCAGTGCACTCCAGCCCCTTCAATCCAGCTGGCAGGCGAAACTCGACCGGAAACGGGAAATGGAAACGCACTGCAATATTATCTCCTGTCGCCTTGTGCTATTCTTAATCGCCCCTTTTCCTCGGCGAATTTGATTCTTTGTCGTCGAAGGAGCTCTTCACCCTGCGACCTTGAGAGCCGTACAATTTTCCCAGCCAAAGTGAATTGTTTCTACAAGTGCTCTTCGGTCGGACAGCACCTGCTCGAATTTTTTCGGAACCATCCAAGAGCCTTCCAGAAGTTCCTCCCGATTTCTTTATTTTTTTTTTTTTTTTTTGTAGGAGCACACATGTTGCTCATGTGCCGACATAAGTAGCTATCCCTAATTGGCACTACTGCATGCTCATACTCATATTTATTAATAATTTTCGTGCGCTTCTCTTTGCTCTGACCGCCCGACTTTTTGAGGTCGAAGCCTTTGTCACTTGACCTTTATTCCTTGTAGGGGAGCGACATGCCCAGTGCAGTGGTAATTCTAATTAATGTAATGCTCCATCAACGTGTCGCTTAATTGAACTCATTTACAGCTGAGCCACATTCTCGCAGTGAACGCTACATTTTTGGTCATACCCGTAAGGCGGTTTTGGTCTAATTACCCCTACATCGGGCAAACATAAAGCCTGAGTTTGGCGGCACGCACTGGAGAATGTCGTTGATTAATTGCTGCTGGCACATATTCGAGCTGCAGGGCGGACATGAAGATTACAAAAGCTGATTTGGAGCACATAATCGCAGCGTTACAGTATTTCTTCAGATATTTGCATTTCTCAGAATTAAGAGGCGCAAATCAACTTTATAACTTTATCGTAGTCGGCACTTACATACTTACATAGGATTGTTTTACCGGCAAGTAGCATACGTTTAGTATAGATTATATTTAAAATATATCAGAACAAACACCTATCCCGTAGAATTAATTCTCATTTTCTAAACATTTCAGGAATTTTTTGCCATTCAAATGTAGTAGAACAAGTCTGTTCATGACTAATTTAAATTTCCCCACCCCAATAAAATTGTCTTAGTATATATAAATGTTTAGATCAATGAATCTAGTTTAGAATTTTGAGTTCATAGTTTTAACTCATAACATTTACATTTACATTCATTACATTAAATTAGTAAATAGTCTTGAACTAAATATTGTTTTTACATTATACATGGCTGTTTTTTAAAGCAAGTTAAGTAAACTATTTATATTGCAGCTCTTATTACTTTTTAACTAGTTACAGACCCACCCACAATGCTTAAGCAGTGTCCCGTTATCAGGCCAGGCCAACTGATAAGGCCAGAAAAAGACGAAGAGCTAGGGGCAAAGAGATCCCTCTCTTTGGCTGCTCTTCGGGCATCCGTAAGATACTCGAACGAAATTCAACAAGAAGTTGAATAAGTATGTGGCAGTTTCGTCGGTGCCGTCAGTCCGTTATCAATACCTACAGCACTTTTTCAACCACGGTCTCCACTTTAGTTGTTTGACGACATCACGAGCGATCGGTTGAGGTTGTTCGTTCGTTTATCCGGTTTAACTATATACTGCCGCCGCCGCCGTTGTTCGATTAATCTCCTCCACACTGCGATCCAGTCGCACGTCATCGCCAGACGTGTTGTTCGATTGATTATTGCAAATAATACGGATAAAAGTACGGGTACAAACACCTCGTATCTATAAGTACGTGCCTGTGCCAAGTTAATACTAAGTTTAGAGCCCGAACGTAGCCATAGAATGGGATTAACACCCAGTGACCTTGTGCTGGTGTGGGTGCTCTGTCCGCCCGAGTGATTATAATAACAATATTTATCTTTAGTGTAAACACTGTTAGCATAGATCAGTGGAAGAGTAAACTTCGTGATCTTTCCTTTATCACCTGAGTCACTTTGTATGGCGCTCACGTCACCGCCCCCCGCCCCGCGTCCCTCCTCACAAAACCCCCCTCTGCTAACCATTCTCCGATATAGGTGGCTATATAGCTCTGGAATGCCAAACAGCTTACGATACTAACTCTCTCGCTCTTGGCTTTTTTGAGCTCTCCCATTTTGATGGGGGGATCTCTCGATCGGATCGACTCGCTTCTCGACTGGGCATAACCACCTAAATGGAACTGTTACCTTTTTAAGTTGCCAAACAATTATATGGTTAGACAGCCATTTAAAGGCCATCACAGGAAGCCGAGTACGTGAATTGTGAGTCCCATCCCACCAATCCGCCTCCCAATCCGCATCGGCCATAGTGTCACTTATCGATTCATTTCGACCTATGCCACAATAAACACTTCGCATTAACCTCAATTAATTTGACTAATTGGCCGCGCGTGCCCCTGCAATCTGCTCGGCTCCATTTGATTCTGGATTCTCTTCAGTTTATTTCATTTTTGTGTTTTTTTTTTTTTTTTGGCTTTTGACCAGGTAACGCTTGGTTTTTCGCCATGGTTTCACTTATCGCCGTTGCTCTTTCAAGTCCAATTCCCTATGTACACCGCATTCACCGACATCTATCTTATCTAATCAGTTTATTAAATACGAAAACTCATGCGGGAAACCATAAAACTACACTCACATACACGATTCCTATATTTTTCGCAACAAGAAGCAGAGCTGAATTCAGTTTTTATGCACCGATGTACACGTTGAATGGCCTTCTATATAGAAGTGTGACTATATAGCCGACTGAGGAAACCAATTTGATCTGGTTTGGGGTGTGAAGATTAGTTTTATTGGGAACCAGTTTAAGAAGTTCACTATAAAGAAGTATATAACAGTGCAGGAACTGCTGTTTTCTAAAGAAAGTTTGCCGAAGTAATCTTAATACTATAAAAGTATTATCGCCCACACCGAGGAAATGTCGCTGACGTCTTTTCGCATTATCCTCTTATTACGTTACAATACTCTTTAAAAAATTCTTTTGAGTCGTCACAGTCTAGAGGAATTCCTGCAATGGTTTCACAATAAAGCCCGATGATCCATACTTATGGGAATGTTCCCGTGCGTAATTTTCTTATTGACTAACCGACAATCAGTCTTTGTGTAACTTTACTATTTATATATTGTATTATATATGAGGACAAAACTGAGCGTTCATGTATTGAGTGATGCACCCACTTGTCGAAGAAGATTCTGATAAGACGGCTGAACTGAAGTAACCCAACTGAATTGCATATAAATCTCATTTATAGTGCAGAAGTGTCGCTTATAAGTCGAATAAAAGCTTCATCTTGGGAAATCATTGGTACAGAATGCCTCGGAAAGAGAGAGTGTGAAATGTGGCAAGTCTTCTGAGAATGTCGAGCTCGTAACTTGATATGAAAAGTTTACAAGAGGCCAAACCCGCAAGAACGACGACAGCCGATAACAAAGAGCCGGAGTGAAATGTTCACGGACTGCAGTTTGTGTGCACTTAATATTTCAAGGGAGTGTATTGAAAACGGAGCAATTATGTTTAAGTAATTTATTATGTGTATTAATTTCAAACCGAGCTTGATACAATTTCAGTTGATAATGGGTTTCCGCTGCCTTTGAACTGATATAGAACTGAATAAATTATGATGCACTCTATAGGGTGAAATGGGGGTATTGGCATTCACTTGGCTTTCTTGGAAACATTTTTTTTCGCTTGTTCCCACACCTGTTTTTAATCCACAAGTTTACATAATGAAATTTCCACTCATTCACGAGTTTTTTCCTCGGTATTGCTTAATCAGCTGCTTGTATAAATAGAAAAAATTCGGTAGCATTGGGACTTAATTATTTGCACTTTTCATGTAGTCACTAAAACAGCACCCGAAGCTGTTTGTTTATAATAATTTAAAATGCGTCCAAAGAGGCCAAAACAAAAGTGTTGTGTTTATTTAGTTTCGTTGTTGCTCTCTGGCCAAGTTTGTGTTTTTTTCTAATTTTGGCGGTGGTGGCTACCTAATCGCCGATTGTTCACTTTGGTTTGTTTACTAATTTGGCCAAAAAAAACCCGTTTCTATTTGCGGATTTTGTTGCTTTTTGAAGGCAAAAACTCATCCGATTCGAATTTGATAACGTCATTCTAACGAAATTGGAAAATAATTCGTTCAAAAGCTTGTTCATTGGCTTCAATTTCCATTGATCAAGTGTATTATAAATAAAACACCAATTTTTAGTGGTTGTTCTTCCGGAAATGTTTGCAAAAAAGATTTCTTCTTTATAACTTATGCAGAATCAGAAAAAACGAATATAAAACACAGAGTAAATATCACTTAACCCCGAGTGAAGACCCCTTGCATCAATGATTAGACTAATTGCGTTGGCCCAAGCATCAAAGTGCTCCCAGTCAAAGTTCAACATCTGTAGATCGCGTGCCAATAAAGCGTTTTATGTTTATTACTCACGCATGCTCCATTTTAAAAACCTACAAATTCTTTGTCAAGTTTGCATATGGGACATTAAATATTTGGATGTGAACATATTGGTTTGGTTTTCAAATCTATTGTTAAACTAATAAAAGTATAGAATATTATAGTTTGACTATCTCAAAATTGTCATCAATCTTTTGCACACTGATAAGTCTGGGTCATAAAAATTAATTGTCAATTTTTTACAATGACATTGTAAAGATTACACGCCACTAAAAATTAGTGAGGGTACCGATATTAATATTTAAAAATAACTATTTTAAATCTAAGCTATTGAGTGCTAGTATTTTGGTATAACTTATATTTTCCCAATCAAATTTTAATTCACGTTTTGTGGATTTACATCTTCAGCAGTGGTTTTGTGGTCAAAAGTTTATAAAGTCAAACCCCTCCAACGGTAAAATGCTAAGGAATGTCACAACGAAACCGGTTTATACTTTTAAGTTTTGATTCCCTTGATTTGAATAATTTGAGATGCAGTTTGCTGAGCTTAAGATGAAATTTAGTGTGGGTTGGATCGAAGCATTTCCATGTCGATGAGTCATCGACGAAAGTGTGGTCTAGCTCTTCTAATAACCGCTACCACAACTCAGATTCGCAATTAAGTGCGTCAAGTATCAACAAGTGTCCGTGGATGAGTCATACCTCAAACAGTGATTAATTCCAGGAATTCGTATGAGTTTTCTGCTTAAGCGGATACCCCGAGAATCTCCAGTGACTAAAATGAATACCTAACGGCATCACTCGAACGTAAATCGGGCAAAAGTCTTTTGATTTTGAATTTCGTGCTGTTTTTGGAGGCTGGGTAGGGAAATCTAGTTTATGTTTTGGGTCAACTGGAAACCGACGAAACCAGTTTTAATTAAAAAGAAAAATTTATGAAACGAATGCGGTTTTGTTGCTCTGTTTTTTTGTAGCCGGACAGATGGTGAAAGTCTATTAGTTTTAGCCGGGCCTTTATTTAATTGTTATGTAAGCGCGAACAGCCATTAAGGCACATTTATTTTCATTGGAGATTTCGCAGAATCAATTGTCCAGTCTACAGTTGGCCCCTCGTAAAAGCTCAAATTGCCTCGGCTTTTGTTGTTGAGTGGCCTTTTTTCATTTCAGTTGTCGATTAGATTAAAAAGTTTTGAAGTTCAAGTGTGATATGGGTGTACCATCAATTGAAATAATTCAGGAACCCCTAAACCAAATGGTTATGCATTTCGTAAATGTTTTGTCTATACTTTAGCAATGTTTATTAATGTGTTAATGGATTACTGTGAATTTGATTTCGCGCTTAATTTGTTGGAAATACTTCTTGATTTCCTCAGCAATTGCGATCTTGCCACATATTTGCATATTTGCTGGATCGAGAGGCTTGCCTGGTACAATGTACTGATTTTTGCTTTATTCTGCAAATATTCAAATAAAGTAAGCTGGGGCAGGGTCCGGAGATTTCCGGTTGCCACAGCCGCAGGATGAATGTGTGGGTGCGCCAAGATAAACACAGGGCACCAACATATGCCGCCAAATGGCGCAATCTCGGGGAGCTGAACTGTCAAGCCAGCAGCCAAAGTGACGCCTCTATTTTGCCCTTCTTGCAGTTCCCAAACAAAGAGATACCAACAAACTAATCGGGAATGACGGCGAACATGGCGAAGAGTCCGCGCCCGCTGAAAATAACCATCGTGGGCGATGGCATGGTGGGCAAAACCTGCATGCTGATAACCTACACACAAAACGAATTTCCCGAGGAGTACGTACCCACCGTGTTCGACAACCACGCCTGCAACATAGTCGTCGACGATCGGGACTACAATCTGACTCTCTGGGACACCGCCGGGCAGGAGGATTACGAAAGACTGCGGCCGTTGAGCTATCCCAATGTGAGTACGATAAACCCGATACCAATCTACTTGTTACACTTTTGGGAAATGATATATGTACGTTCATTGTAGCTTCATAATTCAAACTAAAAAATGTGTTTTATTTATAAACTCAATGGCTTTTATCAGTGGTGTTTTTTATTTTTAAGAATTTTTTCCTTAGTAATTTATTGTTTTTATAAGCTTTTATCAAATGGTTTTTTATACAAATTTTTATTTCGGAAGATTGTTCTCTTGTGTATTGAGAGTTATCAGACAGTTTTTATTTTAAGAAACAAGTGTTTCATGGCTCAGTTTTCAAGTTACCAGAATGATTTTTTTGTGTATTACTGTTATGCTTTTGAATCGTATCCGAAACTAATCAATTTAATTCCCTTTTCCCGCAGACAAACTGTTTCCTCTTGTGCTACTCGATCAACAGCCGCACCTCGTTTGAAAATATAAAGAGCAAGTGGTGGCCCGAGATCCGTCACTTTTCCAATCACGTGCCCGTTGTGTTGGTGGGCACCAAACTGGATCTACGCATCCCCAACTCCGAGAAGTTCGTAACCACACAGGTTTGTTAATGTTTGAATTACTTTTGATTAGTGGTAGTAACACTTTGGTTTATTTTGCAGGAGGGAAAGCGACTGCGCAAGGAAATCCACGCCGCGAATCTGGTCGAGTGTTCGGCCAAGAAAAAGCAGAACCTGCAGCAGGTCTTCGAGGAAGCGATACGCGCCGTAGACAGGAAACCAAAGACGCCCAAGCAATCGTGCACATTACTGTGAACTAAGTGTATGCCTACTGTTTAATATTGTTATTATGCGTAATGTATTATGTAACTAATTCGTCGGAATACTTGTGCTTTGTTTTCGCAAAAAAAAAAAAACTGTGTAGAAAATGTAACATTAAGTTCTTATCATTAAGTGCCACTTGTATGAGAAACATTTATTATACATGCAACCAAAGGGCATTCATTGTAAAAAGATAAATCAAAGGCCAATACAAAATGAAAATAATATATCCACATACATATATAATAATAAGGAATTGAATTTAAATCCATATGGCAGTAAAGCCCGCCCATGTATATTGTACATTTTCAATAAAACCCTAGTCATTAAAATTGATTGTTTATTTTGCTACTTTTTGAAAAGTCGTTTAAATTTGTCGCTTGCCAACACTGAATTTCTCACCGATAACATGTTGTTTACCTTCCTATAATTATGGTTATAATTGCGATTACACTATACCAAGAGATGGAACGGGCTCGGCAAGAAAAGTATCGATATTTATGGCAACAGCGATGGTGCCGAGTAAACATCGTCTTGTGTTCCATCTCTAGCTGGACCGATGATGTGGATTTAAAAGTTAAATAGTTTAAACTTAGTGCTAGCAAATAACAATGGACATCACCCAGAGCTTCAAGGCCAGTGTAATGACAGTGCGCCTCCAGCGGAAGGCCGAGCTGGCCGGCAAAGCGAAATCCACAGCCGCTGGAGCAGCGTCCACAAAAGCACCAAGTGGTCCGAAGGATGACTTTGCCAAGCAGGCCAAGGAGGTGTGCAACAAGATCACCACCCTGCGCAACGTCCTTATAGAGAACCGGACCGCGTACATGCGCATCGGGCAGCACCTGAAGAGCGCCGCCCACATGACCGACTCCCAGCGAGATCTGATCGATCGCGAGTCGGAGAAGTTCGTCACCTTCTACACACAGCACCTGGCCAAGATGCGCAGCGACTGGAAGAGCGCCAAGCGGAAGCCACAGGAGCGCCAGCACATTGATGCCGTGCTCGACCTGCTGGTCAGCTATCTGCACAGCGTCGAGCAGATCTACTTGGACCAAAAGAAGTACCGAGTGCAGCACGAGCTAGAGACATACAGACTGCTAAAGCTGGCGGCGGACAAGAAAAAGATTCCAGTGCGTCCGGCGGGCAGCAACAGTGGCAAGCTGGGCAGGCGTCAGGTCAGCACCGACGATAGCAAAACCACGGAGGCTTCTCCTTCGGTAAATGGTCTCGCCGATGAATCCGCAGACAACGACTGGAACAACGACGGCTGGGGCGAATGGGATGAGGAAGAGGAGGAAGGCGATGTGGACGACCACGATGGCCAGGAGGAGAAGGACGCCTCCCAAACTAGCCAACACAAACCACGAACGCGCAAGCGAAGCAAACCCAATAGGGGCGCTCTTAATGACTCATCCTCCAAGGTGGCTCTGGACGAGGAGCTCCAGAAGCAGCAGGAGGCCGACGACGATGACCCACTCAGTGCCGAAGATGTACAGCTGTTCGAGGCGGAGAACGTGCACATCTACAACTTCCTGCAGGGCATCTCTGAGGAGGTGGAACAGATTGAGAAGAACGTTGTAGACATTGCCCAGCTGCAAAATATTTTCACGGAAAAGGTGAGATAGTTTCACCATAACAACTAAATTTACTTAATGCTAACAATGCTCAATCAGGCCAAAGTAAACTCAGAGCATACTTTTCCATATTGTCCAGATTATTCATCTTACGTCCGTGTCCTCTGTAAACCACTTTTAAACAGCTGTTTTAATTAATTCCACGAGAGTAGTCATCTCGCTGATCCCTTCAAGGATAGCGACACATATGGACGGCCGCTTGTTAGCATTCAAGCATTAAGATCAGAGCTCTCCATTTTGTCCGGATTACATTTTAATTATGAGGCTGTCCATATGGTTAGCCGCAAAGCAATCTTCAAACAAAAATTTTAATTAATTCTACGCCAGCAATCTCTGGCTGATCCCCTCAAGGAAAGCGAGCGAAGCATATGGACGGCCTTTAATTAGCATTCAAGCAATTAGTTGCACTTAGTTCCCCGGTTTTAAGCACCTCTAATCCCGACTAATTCCCTCCTTTTAGGTCGCCATGCAACAGCATAATATCGAAAGGATTGTGAGTGCCGTCGTGGGCACCACGGAAAACGTTAAGGATGCCAACGAGCAAATCCGCCAGGCCACTCAGCGCAATGCCGGACTTCGAGTGTGGTCGCTCTTCTTCCTGCTGGTCATGTCGTTCTCATTGCTTTTCCTGGACTGGTATTACGATTAAGTGTCAACCCCAAAATTTATGTACAACACTCGAGAAATCAAAAGGCAAACATGTTTGTTATCGTTGGATTGCATGAAGAGCATAATTTGTTTATTACATAATTTATAAATAAAAGGAAATATTTGTATAGGCTAATCAACTGCCTGGTTTCGTTCCAATAAAACGACGTGCAACAAAATGGAACTAAAATCGATTTGAGCTGACTTTCACATCTCATCTGTATGTTTAAATATATGTATATTTATTTATACCAAAATGTTTATAGCTAAAGGATTTAGTTCCGTTGGTACATTGTTTTAATCCTAGGTTCTTAGTTGCTAACGAACCGTTCTGTTCGCTTTTTAATTAAACGCTCATCAAGGAAATATGTCTAACTGGGAACGGAAATCAGCATTGTGTATGTCTATGGTTAAAGCTAACCTTTGCTCAGTTGTTTTGTTTTGAATTGGTTTCATTGCATGAATGTCTAGATTCTAGCTAGCTTACAATCTAATTATGTGTAGCCTTAAGATTGGTTTGTTTCAGAGGGAGTGTATCCTTGGCCTAGTCGCTAGGTGTATTTTAAGTGCAATATTCGATTGCATTCAATGCAGTCTGCTGGTTCTTGTCGATTACAATTAGTTTGTTGGTTGGCTCCGATGAGAAGAATGGAAGCTATTCGCCAGCGAAAGTGGCGATAGTGTAGGAAGGCGCCGTTGTTATTTGGCTAGGTTGCTGGTGATCATCGCTTATAACTAAAGTGTTGTATACTAGGTAATAGTATTTCGGCCCCGTGGGTTATGGCGTTGTGGCGATGGTTTCCAAAGCCAGGCTGTTGCCAGCACAGCTCTCCACCGAGTTGGGGTATTCATCTGGGCTGTTGTACACGTGTCCGCCGCTGCTCATCGGCGTCAAAGGCGTCTCTTCGATGGGCGTGGGTGGATTCTCCAGCTTATCGCTGCTGGGTATGTTATTGTTGTTACTGTGGTTGCTGGGTGACTTCGAGGCTGATTCCTCGTTGAGAAACACGCCCAGTGGCAAATGGGAGTTGACATGAGCTAAAGAAAATGCAGAAAGAATTTTATTAGTTCGTGGTACATTCTCTGCGAAACGTTCATACAACAGCATAAGGTGTATCTTATGAAAGGCCATGCACAAACAGCAGGCAACGACATTCCATCACAATATTTAATCTAGTTTAACTAGATCAACAAGAACGCAACCTACAATTTTATTTAAATTTGGATAGTGCCGCCAACTTTGTGAACCTTTTTTTCGTAGATTAGTAAACAATATTAATTGATATTAAAACAAGAAAAAGACGAAATCATGACCAACTTCAAAATATTTATTATTATTTCAAATAGGTGAATTTCAGGTTTAGAACATTTCTGATTAGGAAGCGGTTGAGTGTTAATTGAAATGAATGAGGCTTGCTGAGTTAAAATGTTCGGTGACAATATTTCATAGTCAATTATGTGGTTAAGCCCTAACGACACCGAAGAAGCGTATGGGAAATTGATGCTGGCCTTTTTCGGCACATCAATAATTTCTCTTTTTAATAAAAACAAAAAAAAAGATTTTATTTTGATTAATGACATTGGACTAATTGTGTTAATTTCAATAATCGAATTAACAATGTTGGCAACACCATTTTTGGACGAGACTTTACCCCGAAAAGTCGTGAAATGCATATAGGAGCTTGAGCAAAACTTGCATTTGTAAAACATCTCGCTGTGGGTGCGTCGATGTTTGCGCAATTCTTTCAGATACTCGAATGTCCGATCGCACCCGTCACACTGGTAACCGAGCTCTGGAAAAAGACAACTTGGTTTTGTTTTTGTTTTTGGCCTTTGTATCTGCATAATCGAATTTGAAGTAGGATTCACGTTGTGAATTTGAAGGGAGCCAAAGCCAACAACACACAGATAGCGAGAAACACGCATTCGCAAGCGAATAAGTTAGGCTAAAGATTTCACTACTGGCGGAGAGAGCAACAAGTAACATTGATTGAGATTAAGATTTGTTTTTTTTTTTTTTTTTTTTTTGGTGGGGGGTCGAAAGTGCGTTGCGAAACACGAGGAAAACTTGCGGTGTCAGCGAAAGGAATTCCATGGAATTAGATCGAGGTAAAGCAAAAAGTAAAGCGAGTTATTGACAGCCCATAAATGTTTATTCAATGGAAATCTCTGATTTCGATTTTCCCACGTGTTACGAAACGCACTTCTACTTCTACTGTGAACTGAATACAAATAAGTGTTTAGGTCATCGGATTAATAACAAGGGGCAACTAATTGTCAGTAATTAGAAGCGCTCACCTAGGGCAATTATCAGAGTTCATTTCTTGGGGGCAATTATTGTTATATATAATATACACGTTTGCAAGTCGACTTTGAGTGCGGGAATGCAACTACCAAGCGATTTGGGGTCTCTATTGTTTACGTCCAGTGACAAGTTAGTAACGATTAGTGTTAACTTACGGCTAAAGGCTGTTAGCTAGTAGATAAATATTTTCGAGCAAGCTGTGTTAATTCATGCCAAGCAATGGGAGTAGCCGAATACCACCGATCGATATTGGGCTCCCCCAGAAACGCAAGCGAATCGGTCATGGTTGTCATACCTTTGGAACATATAACCACCACGGTTGAATAAACTGCCGACAACAACGACAATACAATGTTAACAATTGATGGGGGATTAGTAAGAGGCTTATAACTGAAGCTACGACAGAAGGCTAAGACTAAATGAATGGGCATTAGTACGGTAAGTTGAACTCTAGGCAACCCAATGAAACCCTTTAGTATGTGGAGGTAGGCGGGTGCTCCGCCACGGTTTTTGTGTGCCTTCCCCCCCTCCGGAAACTTACCGCCATGGAATTTAATGTGCGTCTTGAGGGCGCTTTCCGTTCCAAACTGCTTGCCGCACTCGTCGCAGGTGTGCGGCTTGGAGAGCAGGTGCACCGTGATCTTGTGCAGGGTGAGCTGCGAGGGTCGCGGGAAGCGGACGCGACAAATGTTGCACTCGTACGGCCGGCCCTCCACGTCGTGCGACTCCATGTGCCGGTGCAGAGCCGTTCGCATGCGATAGCCACGCTTGCAGATGCTGCACACGAACGGCATCGTCGTCTGGGCTCCGTGGGCCAGCTGATGGTGCTTCTTCAGCGCAATCTCGTTGGTGAACCGCTCCTCGCAGTACAGACACTGGTGGCTCGTCGCGGCCGCCGTGGGTGGTGCGGGCGATGGCGGCGGCGCCGGCGAAGCGGGCGTAGCTGGTGAGGCTGGCGGAGCATGATCCACCGTCGAAGATGACGGCGACGAGGAGGGGGGACGGCGAGGCCACCGGGGTGGCCAAATGCAGCGGACCCTGCGGCCCAACGATCACGCCACGTTTGCGGTACTGTCGCAACGTGGTCGTGGAATCTGGCTCGGATTGTTCCGGCGACGGCATTGTTATGTGCTGGCTGGAGAACATCGCGGGCTGCGGCGACGGGGCGGAGACAATTGTCGACGGCGGTGTGAGCACCGTTGGCGGTGGTGCCGCCTGCAGCGGCGGTGTCTGCAGCTCTTCGAATTGCCCGGTGGCGTGGCTGTGACCGGATGTGCCTGCAAATGGAAAGACAAAACGTTTCAGATCGGAACCAATTTACAGCGTATAAAACGCTCGGCTGCTCTTTTCTACCCGACGGTTTTTCTTTTTTTTTTTTTTTTTCTTTTAAGTAGTCATGGTAATTTAATTTAAGGGGCAACCGAATGTGATTGTGGTACTACACCCCCTTCAAACTTACAATCTTCGCAATCCGGACAGCAGAGGATCTTTCGTGGCGTCGTTGGTCCGGCTTGGATTTCCATGGCTAAAGTTAGGATGGTTTTATAGGTTAATAATTGATTGTTATGGTGAAAGTACAGAGAGAAAAACTCACTTGATGGATGCGGTGATTGTGGCGGTTGCTGTTGTTGTGGTTGCGCTTGCATCACATGTTGCTGCTGTTCCTGTTGTTGCTGCTGCTGCTGCATTTGTTGCTGCTGCTGCTGCATTTGTTGCTGCTGCTGCTGCACTGCCGCTTGTTGCTGCTGCTGAGCTTGTAGCTGGTGCTGCTGCTGCACCTTTTGCTGCTGCAGTGGCTGCAACTGATGCTGCTGCTGCTGCAACCGCGGCCTGTACTGCCTGGGTCGCTGCTTCCGTTCGCTGGTGATCTGCAGCTGCACCTCCTCCACGCGGACACCTCCCGCAGCGGCCTTCCCCTCGCAAGGCAACGGCATGTGGTAGCGTTGGATGTGCATGTCGAGCGCCTTCTGGGCTGGGAACACCTGGGTGCACTGGCCGCACTGGTACTGCTGCACCACGTGGTGGCTAAGGATGTGCTGCGAGCGCTTGCTCCTGCTGGCGAAGGCCAGCGGACAGTGCGGACAGTTGAAGGGCGCCACCGCCGGATGGAGTTCGATGATGTGACGGCTGTACTCGAAGCTGCTCGAGAAGCGCGGTCCGTTGTGGCAGAAGCGGCACTTGAGCGTCAGCGCCCGACCCTTGGGCGTGGTGGCGGGAATCGGGGTCACCTTGGTCGATATCGATGTGGCTCCCGGCATTCCCAATACTGGATGGCTTTGTACAAGACGATGTTGTTGCTGCTGTTGCTGCTGTTGTTGCTGCTGCTGTTGTTGCTGCTGCTGCTGCTGATACTGTTGCCGCTGGTACTGCTGGCGAACCTGTTGGCGCTGCAGATGATGTAGGTCGTTGCTGATCGGAGCACCGTAAATGTGTAACGGTGCCTGCCGCGGATTGCTGGCCGAGGCCATCGGCTGACGCATCTCTGGCTGCTGGATTAGAATCATAATCGGTTGCTGCTGCGCCTGCTGATGCTGCTGCTGGGCCTGCTGGATCTTCTGCTGCTGTTGCTGCTGCTGGATCTTCTGCTGCTGCTGGTGGCTCACCTGCTCCAGCATGTAGCTCTCGTTGCCGGCTGGCTGCAGCATGTACGTCTCGGTGCTCTGCTGCGGATACAGATCGCCGGCACTGATGTAGTAAGTGGTGGTAGTGGGAGTCCCACTCTCGTTGGGCGCACTCTTAATGGCCTCCAGACCGCCCACCGATGACCACTGCAGTTGCTGCTGCTGCTGATGCTGTTGCGTATGCTGCCGCTGCCACTGTCGCGTTTCCGAACCAGTTGGCAGCGAAATAAGTTGCATTTTGTTGGAGGAGGAGGATTGCTGAACCGTTTTCTGGACAATGTGTTGCTGGTAGATTTGCTCGTAGGTAACCGTTGTCGTTGTTCCCTGCGTCTGGACATGTGGAACGATCTGCGACTGGAGTTGCATCTGTGGATGAGACTGGCCTTGGGGCAGAATCTGTATGGTGTGCTCTTGGTTTTGGTTCTGAATCTGCGGCTGTATTTGATGTGGAATTTGCAATTGCAGCTGATTCTGCTCATGCGATTGTACTTCGGGTTGACTTTGTGGAATTTCGACGGTGAGAATTTCGTGTTGCATGGCGTTCTCCACTTCGGGTTCCATTTGAATTTCGATTTGCGGCTGGACTTGCGGCGAAGATATGGGAGTTTGAGCACACGAATCAGTGGGCGAATGTTCCCCATTTTGCGTTTGAATCTCACACTCTTCTTGAGTGATTTCCTGGTTCTCCCCTTGGTTAACAGCGCTCTGTTCCTCCTGCGAATGGTTAGTCTGTTGGGGCTGCAAATCCCTCAAGAATTGGGTAAGTTCTAGGTGCAAGGTCTGTCCCGCTTCCGTGGTGGTCTCGATGTTCTCAAAGCAGGGTATGTCGTTCTGGAATCCAATCATCTCGCTGCTAAAGTTGCTGTTATCGAAGGGATCGTCGGATGCATTGGGCTTGGCCTCCGGTTCGGCCACTGGACTCTGCTCGAACGGATTGGGTGGCGAGGTGACGGAGTTCTCCTGTTCGGTCATGGGAGCATAATCGGCGGGCGTGAGGAACTCATCAATGTGGGCACAAGTCGGCGTGTACATGTGCTGGTCCTGCATCTCGTTGAGGATGCCATTGAGGGTCGTCTCCACATCGTTCATCTCCACCTCCAGCTTCTGCTTGGCCTCCAGATCGTTGAGGGCCAGCGGCAGTTCCGAGGGCGTTGGCGATGGCGCCGGAGTGGTGGCCTTCAGTGTCTCAATGCCATTGGCACAGTGTTTGGTGAACTCGGCCATAAAGTCCATGGGCGTGGGTCCACTCCTCGCCATCTGCACCTCATCCGTATCCGTTTCCCCGCCACTTGTTGTACTCCCCTCATCTTCGAATTTTGGATTCCCCGTTGGGGGTGCTTCAATTTGGTTGGTTCGGAGTGCCACAGCAGAATTGAAGCTATCTGCTGTAGCACTCTGGCAAAAATTTTCATCGTTCTCATTGTTGTTAACATCATCGGACTGCAAGGGGAGCAGAGCCTTCGGCAACTCCTCACTTTCTGGATCGACGCAAAGGCGACGCTGCAGATCCTCGTTGAGCACCTCCAGTGGAATGCTCACAATGATCTCCGGCTGGTCATCCAATTCCAGCCGATCCACAACTTGCTCTTGCTCAACAGGTACTTGATTTTCTGCGGTTTCAAGTGGCTTCACAGGTTCCAGCTGACCCACATTCTCCAGCAGCTCAACCGATTCCGGTTGTGGTTTAATGGTTTCTGTGGAGGAGGTCAGTTCACCGGACTGTAAGAGATCGGATACAGATTCAATTCCATTCGAAACAGACTCGATAGTAGCGGCAATTTCCTGTGCAATTGTTGTTTCTATCTCACGGATTGCTGCCAGCTTCTCCTGTAACTTTTTGGCGGATAATGGGTCCTCATTTGGATCTGGTTTTTGCAGTTCTTCCACGCCTGCTATATGTTCATCACCTGTCAAACCATTCAAGGTGACTTCCATCTGTTCAGAGGGTTTCATCTCATAGTTTGAGTTAACCGCATCACATTCGCTTTGGACCCCGTTCAAGAAGGCGGCTGCCTTTGGCACATCTGAAGTGCTATCGATTGCCTCATCACAAGATGCGGCACTGGTTGTTTCAACCCTTCGTTCCGGCGGAAAGATATCATTTTGATCAGACTTTTTGTTCTCTTCGGTGAGTGGTGGCTCACCACCTGTCACCTTCGCCTTCCTGCCCAGCGATCGCCTCTGTCTCTTGGCCGGGATGTAAATCGGCGCATTCCTCGGACGGCGACCCCTTCGCGGAATGAAAACATTCACGGGCGATGGGGATTTCTTTGCACTACATTTCGATTGTGGAGACTTGGAGGTAGCGGAAGTTGACGAGGGATTGCTGTCGCTCGCGAAGCCACAGCATGGACCCACGGACAGGTCGCTCATGTGCTCACTACTGGTGGTGCTGCTGCTGCTTGTGCTGGCCCGCTTGCCACTTGGCAAGGAGAGGACCGGGGAGCAGCTGGCGGACCACGTCTCGGACAGCTGCTTCCGGGCGGCCTTCGTGCGCCAGGGCATGCTGCTCGAATCGATGGAGGCGGGACGCTCCATTTCACAGCCAATGGAGAAGGTGCGAAGTTTGCGCAGACGGAGCTGTGGATGGCTATCTTTCGACTTTGGCGGCGACAGAACCTCCGACTCCGATTCCGTTCGCAATTGTTTCACTGGCACTCCGACTGTTGCTCCTGCTGTTGCTTCACTACCTCCGTCCGATTCTGAAACCATGCGACGTTTGCGCTCCGTGTGTGATTGTAGTTGTGACTTTGACTGCGAGTGCGACTCCTGCAAGGGATCCTTCTTGGTGGCTGCCTCCTGCCTGCTATCGGAACGCTCCTTATGCACTTTTTGCTGACGCCTGGCTTGTCTGGCCGCCTGACGGTCGGATATCTCCTGGGCAAAGTCCTGCAGGCGGTGCTGCATCCGTACACATTTCCGCCGGAACTTGGCCACCATCAAAAACTGGGCCATGCACTGCCGGCAGATTTCTTGCGGCAGTCCATCGTCGCGATTTATCTGCAAGCGAAAGAGAGCAAAAAACGAAAAAAAAAAAATTAATATTCGATTCGTGAAATAAATCATTGACGGCATTTAAATTGTCGTTTTGTTGGGTGTTGCATGATTTGTAGCCTTCAGCTTTCACTGAAAAAACTGCATTGCATATATGAACTGAGATTTTAGTGGTCTATACCGAAATATGAACCGTATAGTATGGGCAATAAAAAATGAATTGAAAAAATTAATGAACTCGAAAAAAACAACCGCCTAGTCTTTCCTTTCATTTAAACAATGCCGTAAAAGCCAACGAACCCTTTCAGTAAATTGAATCTAGACCAAGGCATTCATTTGCTGATAGTGAGTAACAACTTTTAAGGCCAAACATACTTCTACTTTCAACGTACACACACGCTTTGCTTAAAGAAACTATCCTCTATTTATAGAAATATTAATAGTCCATGGGGACATTAACGTTTTTTATTTTAGCCAAAGCCAAGCATGCGCTGCATGCGAATCTGCTATTTAGTAGTTCCCCTTACATAATTATAGCTTAACAACGCAAGAGGTTATTGAGATAATAAAATTGTTAAGCCCAACTAGGCATTCAATAGCTGTCGGACCGATTTCCTGTCCATATACTCATGTGTATACAATACCTTTCCTTTCTTTCACTTTGTCGTTAGCGGCTGCTGACCAAATTATGAATTAATTAACTGACATTGAACGTTGAACGTTGAAAAGGCAAAGTCGAAAGGCGTTCGAACGCGTTTGAACGGGTGAGGTGATAGCCACCAGCCGGCCAAAGCCAGCAAATTTATTAATGATTTATGGGCAGCTGGTGGTCGGTCGTTAGCTCGAAATCCGAAATCCGAAATCTGCACAGGTGGCGAAGGCGGATCGGATCGAATCGAAACGGATCGGATCCGACTCGGATTTCGGATTTGGACTTGGATGCGGAGCATTCGAGTGGCAAAAATTCCACCACATAAGCACCTTCGTTTTCTGCGGCCATTTGGACCACATAATTTGCTTTTGTTTTCCAATTGAGTGGTTTCGGTTTGAAAAAAACCCAGGCGCCTTGCATACATATCTCCGCAGAAAAGAGCATTTTAATTAAAGTTTCCTAATCTCAAACTCGCTTTAATTTTTTTTTTTTTTTTTTTTTGTTATACATTATGCGGCCTCCCAGGTGATGAAATAGTATATCCTCCACACGAGACTGCAGCAATTTGAGTACATTTTGATGGTTAGTCGAAATTAATTGAAGTGCAAAAGTGGCAAAAACGAAAAATCAATTAACAAGTTCAAGATCTTTCGACAAAACCACAAAAAGAAAGCGAAAAAAACAGTTACTTAACGCAAAAGAAAAGGTTTGCAAAAAAAACCACAAGGAATGCTGAAATGCTGATACAATTTTGAACATACGCTACCAAGGAGGGTAGAAAAAAAAGACAATCTCAAAGAGAGCTAGCTGTACAAAAACAAGAAAAACAATAACAAAAAGACAGCTCACAACGTGATTTGTTTCGAGATATGTGCCGCTTAGCTTGGGAGGTTATGGTAATGGCAAGACAGTTCCGAAAATGACATAAAACCGTACAAGAGACCGGCCACAATTTATGCAGAGCTCGGCGAAAAAGAGTTCGGAACGATTTCGAATGCAGATGCCGCCGACAATGCATAACCGATGTGTGAGGAGCGGAGAACTGGCCAAAAGCCCAGTAAAAAGGAAACAAAAACCTCGAAAAAACACACACCAGTCTGGCTATCTGGGCAAAAAAAAAAAAATAAAAAAAAAAAAAAGTAGAGAAATATGAAAAAAGAACAGACAAACGCAACGGACCGCCATCAAGTGTAAATGACAATCCAAGTAAATGCCGTCCGGCTGGATCGGCGGGTCTACAATATATATATGTATATACATATATAGATATATACAAATATACATATGGATAAATGTGCATGTGTGACGAAGTGGACCGACGCATAAAATAGAGGCAAACGTGTTGAGTTCACTGAAATAAATAAATTGGTCGGATTTGTATCTTATAAAAAACAGCAATTGAAGTGGAAAGCTTTTCCCTGACTTCGAACCAATAAATAAATAAATAAACACACGCACCTGAATTCGCAACAGATGCTAACGATTCGGCAATAAGATTCGTACACAAGCATTACAATACGATTTATTATCGCCAATCGCACGAGGAGATAAAAATCAGATTTGTCAGACCTGAAAGAGTTCAATAAAAATCCAAAATGGTTGACAAAATACAAATAGCAATATAATACCCAAAATTTGTATGTGATTCACACCACATTTTTGGTCATCAAATTCTGGCAGATTTTTAACAATATCTTCGTGTTATTGATGGTTATCAGTAAAACATTTTAATTAGCACCGTTCAACACAGATGATGATGGACAGTATAAAAGGCTGACAGTAATATTTGGTACGCGCAGCTGGAGGAAAAAATATTCTCAGAATGCGTCGGCAGTTTTTTCCACAGTTGACTGTTTATACGCTATAAAACTGGACATGACACAAATAATAAAAATACAATATGGTTATTTAAATGTTCGTACATCTCTTAGATCAAATAAACGAGAAAGAGAAACGCAGCAACACGTATGTAATTGTGTGTGACTATAACAAGTACAAAATGTAAATTTCATGGGTGGAGCTCGGCTCGATAAATAACAATCAAAAGTAGCATCGCGCCGCCGCCGACGAGGCTCAAAAAAATATTTTCAGTGATTTGTAATGACTGTGGATAAAAAACACAAATAGCGGCGAGTGCACACACGGCAGAAATAATGTTTCGAAATTCGTAGTAAAAGAGTTTCAAGACACATGGACCTATAAGGCATGAAAGGCCTCTTTATATGCATTGTCAGCATTGATTGACGGTTAATTATTGTATGCCATAATCACTTTTTTAAACGCGACACACACAAATTGTTTTCTCTAGTCAAACAACAAACAAAAAGCAAGTGCTTTTTGCGACAACATGGCACAGCTTTTGTGGAATTCGATTTATTAGTTTGGAAACAAGTGACATCAAAGGGCGACTCATAAATGCAAACAACACACACTTTGTATTTATGTAACTCCGCTGCTCCGTATGACGTTCGCTCGTAAAGTTTCTTTCCAATGACAAAACGATCTATTCTTATTTGTCTTGCGAAACTGCTGTAATCCAAAGTGGACAAATAACCCAGAAAAGCCACACAATTGAAAGATTAGTTCAAGATAAGCGTCGTTTCAGCTAGAGAGAAATAATGATTCGATTCCGAGCACCAATGCAATCCCCATTGCCCCGAGGTTCGATTTGTCTTGGCCTGGTGTCTGTAGTACGTTTTGTACGTTTTATTCGATTCGTTTCGCCACCCCCTCCCCCTTCTACCCCCTCCCCCACTTTTCCCTTTCGTTCAGTTCAAACAGTTTTGGCACAAACAATTGTAGGAACTGTTTGCCCTTTCTCTTCCTAGTTTCTCCGCCCAATCGAAGAGGCAAGGGTAAGACAAAAGAAACCATCCAACACGCCATGGAAATTGAGTTAATTTGCACTCAATGTGCAAACCGATTACTGGACTGGCTAAGAAAAACCAAATGCCAAAAGAAATATAAATTAAAACAACAAGCAGCGGACAAACTAGATGGAAAAAAAAGGCCAAAGCTCAAAAATCGAAACAACAAATACCCTTTCAAGACTTTCTCTTCGCTTCGAATAAACAATTGAAAGCCAATTTTAGTTATCACCACCTGATTTTATTTATAATAGCTTATCGAGCAGTATACGTATAATTTAAGATACGTGACCGTGATCTCATGAACATTACTTTTGAAAGTAAAGTAATGACGATTGAAAACATTTTAGTTTACAGTTGTAAATTATTAAATTGAAAACGTAAGAAATGCAATTTACTTTGCATAAAGTGGTTCCGGTATTTAATTTTAGTTAACAACAAGCGTTCATCGAACACGCAAGGCATCTTCAACAAAAAAAAAAAACACAGGAAGCGTGTTAATTTTAATTTTATTGTTTGTGGGTGTTCACATGAATATTGACATTTGATTTGAAGTAGGAAAACACTATCGGATGAATGAGTCACAATGGTATTTTCTGGACGATTAAAGCCCTTTTTAAAAGATGAAATATCATCGGATAGTGTAACAAAATCGCAATAATCGAAACGGCAATTTACGGGAAATCCAATATGGTTGCAGCAACCAGATTGCTGCACTGAATTGATGACGCCGCCGGATGGCGAATCGCGCGATTGCCGGATGGCCACTGGCCTCTGCCGGTTGAAAGAGCAAAAAAAAAAAGCCAGCAAAAAAAAAAACAAGAAATTTAATAACCGTAAACTGTTGCAAGAAAGCCGTAGTCATAAATATGGTCGAAAGGAGCGAGTGAGAGGGATTGAGTGTGAGAGTGCGATAATAAATCGCTGCGATGCAAACATAAATTTACATTTTTGATGATGATAATTCCAGCAGCAGTAGCAGCAAAAGAACACAACTCGAACCACCCTCGCAAAGTGTTGCAAATTAAAATCCAAATCCGTAAGTCAACAAGACAAATTTCCACCCAAGGAGCCACCAGCAAGCAAGCCAGCCAGCCAGCCACTCAATGTTTAACTAATTAAGAGATGAGCCCCGGTTTCGTAGTGCGATGTTAATCCTGTTCTACATGGCTGGAAGGAAGTGGTGTGGAATGGCGAAATGGTTAGCTTAGCTTTGCTTCTGGGATGGTTAGCTGGTTAGATGGTTAGCTGGTGGAATGGTTAACTGGTGCGATGGTGCTATGGTGGCTGGGCCCTTCAACTGGAACAGCGACTCTAATGTGGCCATAAAGAGCCACAGCAGCTGACAGCGCAGACAACCAGCGATTGTAATCAACGCATGCACTCAGGATAATATTTTCCTTAATTTCGGTAAAAAAAAAAAAAAAAAAGAAAACGCCTTCGCAATTCACTATGATGATGACAACATACACAAATCAAATAAAGAT